TTACTGCTTATGACAGGCATTTCTGAATGGTAAAATGCCTTTAAAATAGTTCCAAAGTTTACAAGAATAATTTTGTTTTACTGGCTAGATATTTCTAATAGTCCCTGAATCCATTTACCATTGCACTATTATCTGCTCTAAAATTAACAGGACAGATAAAATCAGAGTCTAACCATTCAGGACACATTACCATTTTCCAGAGACTGCAAAAGATGTCCTTTTCTTAAACTGAATTCAGAAGTGTGCTTTGCATTTTATAGAGCTTTTCATCAAGAGTTCACATTTAAATGTTAATTCAAGCCTCACAAAACTTCTGAAATAGCTAATGTGTAATGACTTCAAGAGCATGCCATAAATCTCTGAAGTGGTTTGTTTATTTTTATTCTCTTTCCAGGTACCTATCTGCTACAAATCACTTAGATCCCCACACAGCAACAGCACATATACTTCTAGAATGGAAGTGAAGAAAAATTTCAAATTACTGGCAAGGATGAAGTGGGCAACAGCCTTTAATGAGATTATCTGAATGGGGACGTGAGGAAGAGCAACCTGAGAACAGTTACTGTGGACACCGCAATATATATACACACCTGGCCAGGTGCAAAGCAGAAGAAAATGTGTTAAAGAAAGTAACCAAACTTTCACAGAGGATCTGCTGACCTTCTGCTTTTTTTTTGTTTTGCTAAAACAATACTGTTTTGCCAAATTTTTATTTCTTGAATTTCTGAACTTTATGATTTAAGGTGGTGTTCAGACCCAAATTTCAACCTTTTTAAAAAAAAATTTATAAACTACCATATAATAGCTAGTAGGTCTATTTTAATTTTAGTTGTATCTCTAAACAAGTATATACACAATACATAGAAAGAAATAATAGTTATTATTTTCTAAGTATAATAATGTAGCATTCCTATAGACACAAAAATATCTTCTGCCATTGTTTCATAATTCATTTAAAAACATCCAAACTATTCAAACTTCGTAAGCTTTTCCTGTCACTCTGAACACAATCCCACAAATCTTGCTATGTTATTACAGAGGGTTAGTAAAGTTGTCAGAGTTGTGTATTGTTGACTAGATCCTTCCTAAAGCAAAGCAATCTGCAATTGGGATTCTCCTTTAATCACAGGGTGGGCATCCTTTGCCTATAGCACTTGTTAGATATTAAGAAACTGTTTTCTCCACTCTACTCTAAATTCCAGCTAGAGCTTAGTCATTTTTAAAAAAAGTAATACACAGAGGCTAAGTCTAGAAAATGTTACAGTAAAAGTTTATTTAAACGTTAAAAGCATGTTAAAAGGGTCTATAGCTGCTACATTACCTGAAACATATTTTCACTATAACTGATAGGAGTAAGTACACACATATTTACCCGCTTCTGTCTCTCCTTTTCCACTCTTATTTTAGCTGCTTGTTCTTGAGGATGGATTAGAACTGAATTTTCAGCTGCACCTGTATTTTCCAACATTTCCACAGAATCTTAAAGACAAATGTTATTTAACTGTAATTGCAGTCAGAAAGGGCCCTACATCTGCTTTAGATCTTGTTTTACAGTTTCCCAACCTCTCTAAAAAAATGCATAAGCTGCTCTTGAAAAGGTTACCATCTCCATCCCACTACTCTGTTTCTGTAAGCTAGAAAATAATTTCTGTATTATTTAAGCCTTTAATGCCCCTTTGCCATGTGTCTTTCTTGAATATAAAGTAATGGCTCAACTGCAACAGGACTGAAGATTGCTTCTACCCAGATTATTTGGCAGCCTAATAGCAAGATCATCCTGAGGAATAAAAAGCCATACATTAACCTCTTGGTGCAAAGAGGGTCTATAACTGGCACAGACTGGGCAAATGAGCTAACATTTGGCTATTGCACAAGAAGCAAGTATTTGTCCTGTAGTAGCAGCTTCAAATAGCAGCACATTTTGCCCACAGGCAGATTTTAACTCATGCTGCACTCTCCAGTCCCAGGAATTATGCTGGTGTATCCAAGTACATGATTGAACTATATCACTTTATCTTACTAATTTAAAAAACACCCCATGAAAGAAAAGAAACAAAGCCAAAACCTACAACAACTTATTCACTTTAATAGGCTTCAGAAATCCCAGTTAGCATACAAGTTCACCAACTTCTAACCTCAGCACTAGCTAACCAAAGAGCACAAAGAATAGAATTGGGAAGTAACCCCACAAATTTTGTCTATCACACAAAAAGGAATGTCTAATTGCTATAAATTCCAGATGTGCCACAGACACATCAGCTCACACTTGTCTTGTGCATTTCTAGCTGTGAATCTCTAAGCATCTGGCTTTTCCAGTTCAACAGGTGCAGAACTTTAATGCCTGATTTTGCAGGCAAACACCTATTAAAGCATGGCAACACCAAGCATGACAACAATTTGGGTGAGATTTAAAGGATACAAAGGTATTTTGGACATCTTTTCTCTATAAGATCTTAATAGGCAAGTTGGACATAAGAGCAAAAATTTCTCCTATTTATGTTTTCAACAAATCCACAATGTACTGTGGGCAGAGACAGGAGAAATGTACTTCCTGGCAACGTGATAAAACACCACCACTTAAAGTTCATTACACAGTTTTGTAACAGTCCACCCTTGCAAGCCTTTTTGCTCCTAAACAATAAAATTTTGAAGCAAGTATGTATTACGTACCTTTGGCTTCACATACTGTATTTTCCTGTTGCTCATAGTTAGGTCTTGAACCACATAATGGTCTCTCTTTGCTAGTAATTGTGCCCGATTCAATAGTCTCAACTTCACTTTGAATCTCTTTCTCACTTTTTGATGTCCACTCTTCTTTTTGGCTTCTGATCTTGTTCAGCAATTTCTTTAAGACAAGTTTTGATTGAGGTTGGTGATTTTTTGCTTCTTCATGATCTATAAAGAATATATACTGTTAAGTTTTGAGTAATGAATATCTTCTGTCATAAAAACAAAAAAACCTTTTTAATTGCTTAGAGTTGGACAAATAACCCGGGTATATTATCAAGTCTTAAAGGCTTAACAATATTTTTTCTTACCTGCAAGAGAGAAGCAGTAATTTGTCTCTGCGTCCTATAAAAGAAGGACTATAGTAGCTGTAGTGTTTCATAGTCAGGTCACTCCTAGACTGTACTGTTGCAGAAATGAGCAGTAATATCTGCCCATGGCCTGCCTCTATATTCCTTCCTTCTTCTTTGTATTAGCACTGACAACACAACGCATCACAGACCAAACAACAGATTGTGCCAGCAAAGAAATGCTTGGCCAAACAGCAAAGTTCACCAGCACACTTCTTGTTCAAATCACATTATATCATACATTCCACAAGTGAAAGGTGTACACACACACACACACACACACAGGCAACTGCTGCAGCCTACTCACAATACGGAGCAACTCAATCACAAACCTGAATATAAAGGACATGCAATAAGTACTTCCATATAAAGTCAAGCTTTAACTTTGAAATACTTCAAAACACAAAATGAAAAATATTTATGTCCACATACCAGCATAATCTCATAATTTAACCTAGTTATGTAGGAATAATTATGGCTACTAACAGTGTAGTTCTTAAAGCAGTTAAAAATTATTCTCAGTATACTAATGAACTGACTTATATTAGAAAGAGAAGTCACATTTTCATTTTTAAATTCATAACCATTAGAGCATTATCATCTATGATAGATATCATAAACCATTCGATACTGAAATACTTCACAGGCCTTAAGGAATTTTAGTACTTAAGACATTTTAGTTAATACTATAGTTACCTTATTTGGTATTTTAAACTAAATCTCTTCTACGAGAAAACAAAAAAGTTTAAGTTAAATGTAAAGTTTAAAAGCTTTACTTTCTGATTCACTGGGGACCTCCTCTTCTATCATCTGCCCTGATTCCTGTTGAGTATCACAAGCAGATTCTGGTTGAGTGTCACAAGCAGATTCTTGGTCCAATGAGATATCAAGATCTTTATCTTGAGATCTATCAGAAGAGGCTGGCAAAGGCTGTGGCTCAAACTGCAAAATCAGGTCTCCTTTCATTTCTGATTAGAAGAACACAACCACATAAAATGGCCAATTAGAATAAAAAGCAAACAACATTCAAATCGCTAAGAAGTTCAAGTATCGATAGCTTGTTTCACAACAGATTTAATCCAACTATTTTTTCCAAAATAGAAGATTCAAGATTGTTTACATCATTAGCCATCTATCAATTCAAAAATTTTACAGGGTTTTCCACCAAAATATGCTATGTCATTCAAAGTAAAAAGTTTGTGATAAAAGGCTCATCTTTACACAAAAACCAGCACAGAGGAACAATTACACTCAGGAGGATCCCAGTAACTTCATCAGGGAAAAGATGCACTCTGACTCGGCTGCTTACAGGGCTGCCACAAGAGAGTGACTGATCACACAGCCCAGGCATGAAATCCCAGAAGATGAGGCACCAGTTCTCTCAGGATCACCTTACCAACTGAGGAGGTCACTGTCTAAAAGTGGTGTGGGACAAATAGGAATATCACCTTGGGATTGTATGCTTACTATAGATATTTAGAGGAGGAACTAAAGGCAGGGAAAGGAAAGGATCAAGTTAGTCTGGAGAAGAACAAATGTGAGGAAAAATATAAGAACAAGGAAATGAAAGCGCCTTGTCAGTACACTTATCTTGGCCATGCACTGTGCCTGACACTCTGTCCTGTCTTCTCCCTAAACTCCATTTCTAGCTGTTTTCCTGGGTGAGGAACCCTTTATTTAGTACATATGCATGTATATGGATATATAAGGGCCAGCAACTGGAGTGGGGACCAAAAGTCACAGGGTCACCTGTGTCCAGAGCACTGCCAGCTGCAGAAATCAGGAAATCAGAATGAGTACATATTACGTGGGTATGAACATCAGCATGCAATGCCTAGCAAATCACAAACCAGACTAGCCAGCAAGAATGATGAGAGGCTTTGGAGCTACGTTCAAGCAGTCACAAGACTGAGCTGTATACTAGAGAGGCCCAGGAATCTGCCTGGGCACACGTGTGTGCAGCTCACAGACAACTGGGTAAGATCCAGGATCATCTACTGGGTAGACCGAGCACTAAGGTCAGTTACTGCAGGGATCCATAGCATGTGCATGTCTGTACGTCTGTTCACCCGCCCAACTGTGTCTGTGTAGCAACAGCTGGAGTGGAGCAGCTGGCTTTGGGGGTTCACAGGCCCAGGAGCTAGCAACTGCAGAGATTAAGGATCAAGGGCCAGCTGCTAATGTAGAGTGAGCAGCCATAGCACTTATTTAGCATACCAGAGCTTATGTGGACAGGTGAGTTAACTGGAAGGCTACAGGGTCTGGGAGTTTGCTGTGTTGGTCTGTATGGCCAGCTGTGTGTGTGTGTACTGAAAGCCTGCTCGTGCATGAATATACACAGAGTCTTGCTACCAGCTGGATGTGGGAAGAGGCAACTAGAGCAACCTCTCCTCCACTGAGCTACCAGATTCAGCAACCTCCAAATTACTTACTCCTGTCTTCACTGTACATATCTTCAAATGCAAACTCCAATTCTCTCTGCCATTCATCTTTTATTTCCATTTGTTTGTAGGGAGGCACAAAAAGTTGAGGTGGCATCTGGGCTACAATCTGTCTTCTCCTCATCCGATCCATATTCTGCATTTGCTCAAGTTCCTTCAGTAGCCTTTCCCTGTCCTTAAAGTATAAAGGAGGGATAACAAACATGAAGCGCTCACATCCAGACAGCCCTATGTCAGGACTGATAAAAACACTCCTATTTGGTTACTATGAAGTTTGTTTAATCCTTCATGTTTAATTTTATTCTAGGGAGAAGGTGCTTCCTTGGGAGAAGGCTGTAACTGACCTTTAAACACAAGAGTCATCAATACTACCTAGAAGATCTAATGTTAAATAAAGGATCAGACTGTACACCTGTATACCAACTTTCCTCAACAGAATTAAATGTTCTATTTCATAAGGTAAATGAGTACTTCCTTTGGCAAGTTACTTTTGTTGGTACGTACTTCAGCAATTGCTGCTTGTTAAGACACAAACTAAATACTTTTGGCACGTTGCAATTATATATGAAAGCTATTTTTAAAAAGCTTTATTTGAAGATTGGTTGTTTGGTTTTTTTAACTTAAAGAGAATAAGTAATATTTCTGCAGTTCCCCTTTTTAGTTGAGATACTCGTTCAGGGCCAATCTCATCTTAACCAAAAAACAGGAAGCTTTTGCTATTTCTAGCCTCCAAAAATACTTGTGAAGGTGACAAAACAAATATTACAGCACCTCTCTAGGTACAAAGACCTTTCTCAATAGTTCAGTTTTTATTTCTTAAATGAAACCATGTCAGTATTTTCAGACTTAAGCACTAACAGAACCTCAGTCTTTAAGTAAAAACTTTGGAAAGTGTTCCAAAAGTAAAAAACAGAAAAAATCCTGTTCCCTTCTTAATAATAAACTATTTTTCCCCTGAAGTACATAATAACCAACTCCAACTAAAGCTGATGTGAAAAAGTAGAGCTCATCACCTATTAAAAAAGTTTATCTTGATTATTATCAATTGGTTAAAAGCTGGTCAAATATTAAGATAAAAAAACTATAGGATGTTCTTCCGAAGGCTGGTCTTAATCTGTGTGCTTTCATTCTCCTTCCTTCCAGACAACTGAAATAAGCAAACTGACTTTGATGGCTTTTAAACATATTCTGAAAACTCCATTTAGTCCATAATTTTCCTCCTGTAACTACCACTCCTTTACTGATGCGTTACCTACAACTTTAACACTGGTCATTTTTGTCGTTAAAACCAGGCACAACGACTTTGCCTACCTGAGCCAAATGGACCTTCTTCAAGGCCTGACTTCCTCTGAGATTTGCCTTCTCAAGCTGCTCTCTTCTCTCTCTCTCCACCTCTCTGTTTAGTTCCTCCAAACGTTTCCCCTCTTCTTCAGCAGCTAACCGAGCATCTGGCTGGCAGTCAATCAACAGTTTAGTCCAAGAAGTTCTTTGTGGCAGTTTAAAGCATATGTAATAATAAATAAATTAATAAATCTGTAGCAAAAGCAATTAAAAAAGTTATGTGACGCCTTATGAACACCCTTGAAGGTTTACAAGCCTTGGCTGCAAGCAGGATCAAACTAGTTTTTTACCTTTGGGAGGGAAAAAACATAATTTAAAAAAGGCACATTTACATATTCCATAGGTGTAGGTGTCAAAGTGTTCTAGTTTCAAGCTGTACTAGAGACAATAATTTGTACGATTTATTTGTTATAGCAAAGTCATTATTTTTCCTACAAGACAAGACAAAATTAATAATACAGTTGATATTACAGATTGACTACTTCTAATCTCATGGTTTTGTTTTAAACAAGAGGGGAAAAAATAATAACAATAAAAAATAATCCAGAAGTGTTTTCATTCTCATTTTGGGAAACCAGAAACAAACTGACATTTTTAAATAATAAAAATCTTACTAAAACATTGTAATTAAAAAGCAAAAAATAAATCATTATACATAAGCAAGGGTACAAAGGTGAAGTTTTTAAAATTTTCCACTACAAAGCTGAGCAAACTACAGCATCTCCTCTTATTGTTAAGGCACAATCCCTCAAATGTTAAGAAAAAAACTAAAACTCCATGAATACACTGAAGAAAATGTTCACAAAAACAAATTTACTGAGAGCTTTTTTAGTCTAGAAGAGGCTGATCCAGAACAGGAACTTTGATCATGGTCTCACATTACTGATAAATCAAACTACTGTTTGTTTCATTTTTCAACAGCATTACCTTAATTCAAAAATCACCTCTAAAAGCTAAGCTCTTGCTCCATCTCTCACTTTTCCAGGTCCCCCCTTCTTCTGATCTGACTGTACCCTTTGGCAAAAATCTATTCATCTTTTTCCCAAATTAGACTTCTGCCATTTTGGCAAGCTGAAACCACTGACTACATGAACTGATGAACACAAATACGAGGTAAACACTGGAACTACTTAGCTTTAGGAGGGGAAGAGAAAAAAGCAGGGCAACTGCAACTATCAATTTAGCATAAGCCAAAAAGCGGAGGATTTGGGTGTCCCAACATTATGCCAGTCTTGTGAAGTCACCTCCTTACAGAGGTGGGAAAGACTGTCAGGTGTGATCCCACAAGTGACTAAGCATGTAACAGGCCTTGTAAGTTTCCCCCTCTAAGACTCTGATTAGTAAGTTGTGTAATGGTTGCTTTATACACACTTATCTTCTTAAAGAAGTTCTAGAAAACTGAATAGCTGGTATCCAGACACTGTATGCAATATAAAGATACAGGGAAGCACATCTCACGAACACTTGGGAGTCAATCACCTGCTCTCCATCCACTCCTTTGTCCACGTAAGGTTCGGAAATATGGTAATGTGTAACAGAAAAGTGGTCAGCACTATAGAGCTTCACTGCAGGAGGCTTTTTGACTTCAAAATTCTAGGGAAAAAAGTACAAGTACAGCTGTATCAGAGAACAGAATCTCTAGCAAAGCAACTAAACAGAACATAAGTGATCTGCATGCTTAAATTAGTATTAACAGAAAGTCATCCCCCCCCCAAAATACTGTTATTTAAAACTTTATATAAATTTAATAATTAATAACTCACACCAGCACAAGGCAGACCTAGAGGGCTTAACTAACAACTGAGAGCATCTAACAGCCTAAGGCAAACTCCTCCACACAAACTGACATTCAGCAGAAAGCTCTACCTTCACATTTCAAAAGCACTACCTTAATTCAAAAGCACCTGGGTTTAATGTACTAATACAAACCCCACTTACATCAGCTGTCACACACCTCAAAGCAGAGCAACTACAGATTCACAACATAATTACATCTAACAGCAAAACAACACTTCTAGAGTACAGACTTTCTTTATGAAACTCTGAACCCATTAAGTCCAATTCATTAGTTGATCAGAGAAAAGAGCATTTTCCATACTTCACTGAAAAGTGTCTATTCATGTAATACAAAGTATTTACTTTTTTGAAAAGTTTTGGGAATATCTTACAACTTCTCTCTACATAAGACGAGGCATACAAAATTCCAGTATTGACTATCTCTTGCTATTTTATAAAGACTGTAAAAAGTGAAGTCTTTAAACTAGAATCCTATGATATGCAACTGGCTTTAGCTTTACCAACAGAACTTCATTAACTTATTTTACAGTTCTTAAGTAAATGCATGTTATTCTAGTAGGAAGGGGAAAAAAGGCAGAAATAAAAGCACACCATCAAGAATTTAACTTTTAAACCACATTATCATGTACCAATAAAATTTTCTACTTTTCTTAATCAATAAATCATAGTAACTGTAACAGATCAACATTAGTCAAAATGCTTGTAGATACTGATAGTAGCACTGAAAACAGACAAGTCTCATGCCTAAACCTCAGTAGCCAGATCGACTGCTTGACCAGTGTCTTACTTGCAGATGACCAAACCTCAGTCTTCTGAATTATTTAAGAAAAACTGTAACTAGCAAACCAACAATTAATAATTACATTTAATCAACCAAATCTCCAGAATTTTATTCAAAAGCTGTGAAGCTGTGGGAGTTACGCGGGAGGCTGCATTCTTCCAATTAATGTCAAAAGCAATTTAGGCCAAAAAAAATACTACTTGTAACATTATTACACCTCATGGTGGAACCACTACAGTTAAGACTCCGTCTGCACTTCCATCAAGGGGTTTCCAACCCCCCCCTCCTCTTCCCCCCCCAAAAAAAAAAACAGTGAGTAATTTCATACTAAGATCTGGCAAAACTGGAGCAGCAACAAAGTATCATGAAATGAAAAAAAACCCACTACTCTACAAATGTTGCGAATACTCAAGAAGAGTATAGTAACATTTTTAGGTTGTGTTTCCATTACAGAGAAATCTTACGGATCCAAAATAAAGTTCACAAGAACTCTGTGACACTTGTCAGTAAATTGGTGCTTAACTTTAATTATGAGTCCTCAGTTCCCTACAAAGCAATCCTTCTGAGAATTAAACTTGATGATGACAATATATCAAGAGTAAAAACACTTCTTTTGTAACTGAGGAAAGCAACAATGATAGGAGAACCTCCAGAAAATGTGTGGTTTTTATTCTAAGTGATCCTGCAATGAACAACACTGCCCTAGCTCACTTCTATGAAATCTTGTTCAATTGTTATTGCAACAGAGCATCAGATTATAATTACAGTTATGTTTAATAAGCTCTTTATGTAAATTGAGTCAAGAAAATGAGCATGCTTATACAGATGACCTTGTCATATGCTGTAATTCACAGGATTTAGAATAAAGTTAAGCAATTCAAATTCAGTGCCTTTTGAGTAATGCTTTTGCAAGACAAAGCCCCAGATTTTTCTGCCCTGAAATGTTTTCTCCCTCTATACAGAGCTAGGAATAAGCCACAGCTCTAATAATCTCTGGGCTTTCAATTACTTAGCATTTGCCCCATGCAATACCTAGCGCTCAGTTACTTTTCCAAGAAAATAACTTTATTCTTCACCCTGTGTTCGCCCAGAAACATAGGCCTATGACAAAAGGATTAAAATCCAGAGAGATATGAAAACTAGGAAAAAAATCTCAGTCAGCTAGTCTCTACATGGATCAAACTGACATGCTGTGCTATATTTAAACAGTGCAATACAATCTCTTTTCTCAAAAATCCAACACATCTGCAGAACTGTTGAGTCAATCTGCCATTATCAGAGCATGAACTTCTTAAAAGAAACAAAACCCACATATTGAAGAAAATCCAGATGCTTGCAAACTCTCCTAAAAATAGCTAAAATCACATTTGCTAAAAAGGTGAGTAAAAGACATTTGTTCATGGGTGGAAATGCATTAAATTGTACCATTTCAGGAAAGGAAGTTATGATTCTGCAATACTTAAATGGGATACTGACCATGACTTGTCATCCAACACAACCACAAATGCAATCGTACCAGAACCTGAGGAAACCTGAATCAGTTCTTCCTGCCTGCTCTAGTGAAAAGGACTAAAGAATAAAGAAGGAAATTTTGCATTTGTGAAGTGGAAAGAGAAATGCACTACTGAAGTTGTTATATGAAGAGTATTAGATAGTCTGTGTATTTTTACCTGTTATATCATCCACAAAGATGCATGTTAACTGCAGCTGACTTCCAGTCTCTGATTAGCAGCTTTTCCCCACCCCCAACAGAAAGCAACATAAAAATACATCCTAAACAGCAAAAGTTACTACAAGGGAATGCTGCAGTGTCTCATGCTTTTCCAACGATGCCAAATTGAGCAACGCAAGCATCTAAAAACGAGGAAGTGAAGAGTCAAAGTTTTACCTGATATGGCCTTCATCTGCTGTAAAGCAGATACACCAGGAACACATCACGAGGAACTACATAGAGAACAGCAGCACAAAAGAGTGCTTGAATTTACCTGAACCGTGCCATACAGAATCTTCTTCCATCTGTTCTAAACTCCAATATTGCATATACTTCACCAGAAATAACCCCAAACTTTACCACTCCTTTATAACACTTGCTTTAATCCTCACTCATATCCAGCTTACACAGTAAGAAAACCCTTAGGCAGCCAGTGAGGAGGCCTACAGAGAAGTGTGTACTAAGGGACAGAAATTAAAATATATAGACACCCCCTCTTCTAATCATTCTGAAAACTGTGAGGGTCAAATCTTACTCAGTATCTTCAGCTGCTTTAGACCATAACATAACCTATACATAATGTGCTGGATGTTGCTGGGAAAAGCTTTGCTAACACCACTGGCTCCCAGAGGTAGTATATCTTAATCCCTTCTTTTCTTGTCAGTGCTCTGAATATACCCGAATCCGATTGTCTGAAAGAGCATACCACCACAAAGCAACTGAAATTCCATACCAGTGAAGTTACTTTAAATTACATTTCCTAAAAGTTATCGCCAAAGTAAAAATGCACACGTTCTTCCTGCAGTTCACATCTGCAATACCATAGTAACTTCTACACCTACGCAGAATCTCTCCAAAATCAAAGCAGCATGGAGGTACAAAGTTGACCCCTAAAAACAGCAAAGCATAGAATTAAATAGAAGGTTTTTTATGTACCTTCCTCCCAATAGCCTTACACACTGGTTTCCTATCAGAACTAAACAGCTTATCCCACATTTAGTATTCCTTTCAAGAAACTAAGAAATTGGAGGAAAAAAAAATCTTCACAGCTAAAAAGGGGAAACTATCTTTATCACAGAACTAAACGCAAGACTACTACTGCATCATTATGACAGAAGGCTGTGGTGTACATGCTGAGAAAGATCACTGTAGAGTTCACTATCACTGCGGCTATTAAATGAAAATGAGATCACAATAAAGTTTAAAAGATGTATTAGCTACAAAAATGAGATGATGAGAAGTAAAATCCACACATAACAAGAGATCAGAAATAAACAAATACCAAAGGTTAGTAGTAAGAAGTCTGCTAATACATAATTCATTAGTTTTCTTGATTTTTGCTGAACCACTCTCCCTATAGCATGCAAATAGCAATTTCTGATATTCTGCTGCGGAGTCAGACCAATAAATAAATCATTACATGGATACGGAACCTGAAATTGTGATCACTATTGCATTGTGGATACACACCTCAAGAGGATGTGGCGGAGGAGGCGGAAGGCTTGCAACTTTGGCTGCTCTTTCTCTTTCCACTTCCAGAGCGTGTTTACGTGCATCTGTTCGCCTTGAGAAAAACAAACAAACACCAAACAAACAAAACCACACACACACACAAAAAAACCAAACACACAAAAGAGAAGAGAAAAGGAAAATTATTCAAGCAACAATGACAGCACTGTGCAAAAATAAACGGCAAACCTAAAAATAAACAGATTCAGATGTACCCGAATTGAATGATTGGGAGAGCACACTGAAAAGACAGCTGCCATTCGAAAGCAGCACTGGAAAATTAATTTCTTGAAGTAAGGCAAAAACATTACTACACACAAACTTCTAAAGAACAAAGCAAAATCCCTGCTTTTCACTTAAGTTTTCAGAAAGCACTGCATCACTTCAGCATATTTTAATTGCTCAAGTGTGGATAAAACTAAGTGTTTAATCAATATGCCTCAGCTCTACTCAAGCACAACTATCACCAAGAATACATAGCTCATTTTTCAAGCCAGCTCAAGTTCAGTCCAATCTGCTTAAAAAAGACGCTAAGAAGGAAGACCATGACAAATGTGACAGGTCCTGTTTTCAAGTGGGTAACTCTCCATCACGAACTGGCCTGAGAACATTCGATTTCATGTCACTAATAGCTGCCAGCCTACAAGCTAGACTGAAAACAGGGATACAGAGATGAAAGACCCACCAGTCACTGAGAGTCTATAAGGCCAGCTCATATACTTGACATTTTTGTCTTGGTTTTAAAACTACAATTCTTATCAAAATCCACAAGCTTTGTACATAAGCATTAATTCTCTAACCCATAAAATTTCAATATTAAAAAAGCTCCAAGTAAGAAGCATCAACATTTTTGCCTTTCACCTTGTAGCACTGTAAAATGCAATCTATGCTTAATAAAACCAGATAACTGTGGCATACCGGGCTTGCTCACGAAGTAATTTTTCTTTTTGGTACTTCTGCTCTTTCAAGGCTTTCCTATGTCTCTTCTCTGCTCTTTGTTTCCTTTCCTCTGCTTGCTTTGCCAGAGCTTCTAAATCAGGTTCCTTAACAATAAAATAGTGCACACACTTAATAAAGAATTTTACTCATTTCTCATACATCAGGGTGATATTTCAAATTAAGTACTGCTGGTAAGAATCACAAGCTCAAAATTACTTTCTACTGTATTAAAAATACTCAAAATAGTAACTTTTCCTTCTCTGTAATCTTCTTTATTCTCCTCTTCTCTACCACCAACAGCAGCAAATTTGCCACATTGCTTGGTGGAAAAAAGTACATACACATTTCTAAGAAGTTTCCATTCTTAAAAAAGTGTCATTTTAGGTATTAGGACTGCAAGATCAAGAGTATTAAAAAAAAACAACAAACAAACAGATACGTTTGTATTTCTATAACATTAAGAATTTCTCTGACAATATTAAATTGTTCCACTTACGTTCTCCTTGGCTTGTCGGTGACCCTCACCAATCGCTCTTAAGCTTGACAAATACAGTTTCTCTAAGGCTTTCATTTTTTCATCCTGTGCTTTCTGCCATTCAGCTCTGAGCACCTCCTCTAACTGATGTAGTTGTTCTTCTCTCCTCTGCTTTACTTTCTGCCTTATCTGCAAAGCGATATACTTCTGTTGCTCTCTAACCTGCAGAAATAACATTTATGTTTTGTCAGCAACTTAAAAAAGCATGGTATTCTTCCAGAAAGTCTTTCCACAACATACTCTACCCTTCTTTCAGCTTGCTATCTCAACTACTATTCCATTAACATGACCAGAAGATAGTTTAAAGTTGCCATTACCTTTTCCTAAAACTAATATTTAAATAATAAAGTTAATCTTAATTAAATTTTTCACTTAAAAAGCAACGTACGGCTCATAAACAAAATGCAAATACTGCTTGGAATATCCTTCCCTCCGAAAATACAACACAATAATTTATTAAAGACTCCTACAATAATGTAACACGGTTTAAAGAAAACTGGCAACTATACTGATAAATTAAAGTCTGTTCACTAAGTTTTTATTTTCCACTCTTTACTAAACAGAAAAACATCAAGAAAAAAGCCCAAGAGGGTAGAAGATTACCACATAGTAAACATCTCACAGATGTAGATGTGAAAGACCTGAACAGCTTGCATAGGACAAAGCAGAGGAAAGCTAAGAAAAAAGTAAGAGCAGCAATGGAGAAACAGCCCTCTGTTCTAACAGCAGGGCAGAACAGAAATGGAAGAAAGATGAGATCAAGAGACATGTTCTGAGGAACTTAAAGGCGCTTTGCTTACACATTCTAAAAGAAGCTGTACTTCAAGCATTCAGAGCTATGACAACTTGCAGCAATTCAGTTTGTCTAGTGGAAAGCTGTGAATGTCAGTTGTCTTATTTCTTCTGCATGATCACCATGAAGAGTGACCCTGAACACTGTAAGAGGTACGAATCCTAACCCAAGTGACACATCAGCAGAAGAGACAGCTGCATGAGGTAGATACTGGGAAGCTGGCAGGGAAGAAGAGATTCTGAGACAGAGGCCAAAGTGAAATCTAAGTGAATCTAAGAAAAGGTACCACAAGCAAAATATGCGCTTAGCAGTAAATAAACATGAGAAAAGGAAAATAATTCACAAACTAAATACAAACCAAACAGACCATACTAGGACCCTGAAATTTAGTTTACATTAAATTTTTTGGTGAATTTTCCTGAATTTGTTACAGCATTAAATTAAAAGCACAATGTACAAAAATATAGGCATACTTGCTGTAGCCTCAGTTTTCTTCTTCTCTCGTATTCCTCTTTCAGAAGCATGGTTTCTTCATTAGGACTAAGCCTCAGTTTCCCAACTTTTGCAACTTTCCTCTTCATATTTGGAAATGCCGAATACTCAACTTCTATGAGAACATGAAAAACAAAAATTGTGCATAAATGATATGTAAATCAGCTATAAAAAAGCAGATATTGCCATAATTTTACAAATCTATCATGGTATCTAGGAGTGCAAGCTACAACTGTTCATGTCATCTGTAAACGAAATAGTGAGCACCATTCTACTCCTGGGGAAAAAAAACAAACAAGCTAATGAAAACCACACCATATAGTAAACAGTCTGGTCACTTAGGTGGTTAGTACTGAGATATTCTCGTAATTATAAGATACTGAGTTTGTTAACATATTTGAGTGCAGTCCAAGGTTTTCTGCCTTTAAGACTGTTAAGCTCCAACAACAGTCTGCATGTCAAGCATTTCACTAGAACACCTTTTTGAGTTTTCTTAAGCAGCTGTTTCACATGCTCTGTTGAACCTGGATGTGCTGGTTCTAGAAACTGCTTCCAGTTTTCCTAACAATTATCATTTTCATCTGCAGAGCAAAAAAAGGTTTTCATTCCAATATGCAACCTAGGCCAAAACTGCCCCCCATATCTTTATTTGTTCTTCACATCTTTATATTCCTAGAAATGCTCTCTCAAAACAAGCCAACAAAGACTTTCAAAAGCCATTGTCTAGCTTTAAAAATCAAAAGCTTATTACTAGTGAACAATCCATATAGCACTAACAATTTAATCAAAATGTTACAGCTGGAAACATTTATTTTCAGTATCCCAAATTAAAAAAAATTAATAAATCAGTCGATGCATTAAAATGAAATAATTATCTATAAGACACTTTTGATGCAGGATTTTTAAGCCAAAGAATCCCAAGTTCGTTACAGGATAGATAAGGGCTGAATACCCTGGTTCCTGCTAGTCTTCCCTTACTCAGCTGATGAGGAACAAATCAAAAGTTTACCAATACACGTAATTAAGGAGTAAATGACTACATTCCTGCCTCACCTCTCGAGGAAAGGGAAATTTAAAGGATGAACAACACAAAGCCATAAGATCTAACACTTAAAGGATAAGAGCAAAAGCAGATAACGCAAACGCCACAGCAAAGAAGTCAGTCGCAGTACAGAGCAATCAGTAAATACACGACAGTCAGAACTAAACCAGCCTCTTTCGGGCAACACGGCACTACAGAAGCTGTTGCAAGCAAGGTTAACTCCTCTTATCGCCCTGCTCAGGACAGGCAGCAGAAAGCCGGGAAGAGCAGCAGCAGCGTTAAGACAGCGCCGAGCAAGCGCAACGGCCGGGGACTCAGACCTGAGGCGGGCGGCTCCGGGCGCGGCTGCCCCGGGGGCAGTTCAGAAGACGGAGCCCGCCAGAG